GTAGCCCATCTCTCTCAGTGGTAGTCTAACCAAAAGCAGTCTGCAACGCAGACTTTATTATAAATTTAGTTAACAGAAATCTCATTGATAAAATTTAGCAGCCACAGACAATTAATTTATTGATCTCATGTCTATTGATCGATGTCATGAAAAGCGATTAATTATGTACAGTACACTAACCATGGAAAATCATATCAACACATATTGATTCAAATAGCAAATGTCAACTAAAATGAAGGTAGATGTCGTATTCCTGAAGTATATATATATATATATATATATATATTCTAGTCAATAAACGAGAATGTAACTGGTTTATCACTTAAATTCGATCAATAAACTCACTAAGCAATAAAATCACGTTGATGTGCATAAACACATATTAATTATAAATATATTTGAATATCAATTTGTAGAAACGTGTAGATATTTTATTTGATGATTTGATAACCTTGAAGTACACTTGTGCCGCGTGCTACTTATAAGTAGTATATGACGTGAGTGTAAACGTAATGTCTGGTAGCAGAAGATGGAGGAAGATCAAGAAAAGAAGAGTGGGAACACAATAGAATTTGTATGAAACGTATGAATAGCGAAATGTCAGACAATCGATTGATGATGAACTGATATTTTGCAAATTAACGATTTACGATATAGTTTTCCGATTTTACTGAGTAACTCTGTAATTTTCGTTAAATACAATTCGGTTGCCCTCACCTCTGTTCTCCTTCACTACACACTTATTGCATGATAACTTATTAACTGTCAACACACACACACACAAATCACTAGTACAAAAGTTCAATTAGTTGTCATTGTGTTCAGAAATATCTCTACTAATTATCTAGACTTGACGTTGATGTAGACCAGTCTTCAGATGATATTTGAGACTTTTTCCCCAAAAAATTGAAAAAACATTTCTGTAATTTCATCTACTGTTATCCTAAGATCAAATAGAACTATTGTTCCTTGACAATTTAATTAGACCGCTTAATATTAGGAGGTTTATATTAAAACAAAGAATTTTGAAATTTTTACTGATATTTGCAGAAAAATTATGGTATACTAAAAATTACTAATCTATTATACTTTTATCTAGTAAATAATAATTATTATTATTATTAAAAATCAATAAATATATTCTATTTCATTGATAATGAACTGTAAAAGATGTGGCGTTTGATGAATTTCATTGAAATGTTGAACTGGTCAGTGTTAGACGACCAGTGATTACTTCATAGAGTACCACACTGCCCTTTCGTCATAGTGTCTAATGCCTCAACAGCAGTATGCATCCACGACTCCATATGTAGGAGTCGAGCGCAGAATCTTACGGTCTCATGTGCAAACATTTAACCTTTGGACTATCGAGTCAAGATTAGTGTTAGTTCCTAGCTTCAGTCAATCCACGATAGTGTGCAACTGTCATATATTGTCTTTAAAGAATAACTACCTTACACCCGAAAAGTCTTAATGTAACACGTGTAATCAGCAGTCACTGAAGGGCAGATAAAATCTAAAATCACAACACACAAGGTTAGCTTAACACTTCACATCAAGAGAGAACATGAAGTGATAGCCACGGCACTCCTTATTTTTAAAATTATATAACGCGGGTTTTTTTACAGAAAGGGGATTGCTTGTTTATCAAAATCTTATGAGTCATCCTGTAAGTTCAGAGCACGCAGGGCTTGTTCTTCAGCTTCCAAAGCGTTTATGTTTGATCGACCTGCAATAGAAACAAAACAGAACAGGTTAGCAACATTATACACAGTGATTTTAACTCCGTTACATTAACTCCACTAGAACTCAGAAAATTCTCTCAAGAAGCTCCCTAATGCATCCCAATACTGGGATTTAACCGCCATCTAATACTTCCAAGTTTCTAATGTTAATCTAACATTGATCAGTTCATGATTTGTAACAATAAAAATGTTTATTGATGAAGAACGAAATTTGGATAGTTATGGTATTTTTGCTTTGTACTGAATACATACAAAACATGTGACTTAATATATACGTTTCAATCCTTTTTTCTATCAAGCTTATATTTAGGTTATATGTAACAGAAAAGTGGACATTATTAATGAATGGAGGTAACAAAGATGATAACAGAGAGAGAGAGAGAGATAGTTAGTTTTAAAGTTATCGAGAAAAACGACGAGGAGAAAGTGAAATTTTACAAGTTTTTATTCTATATAGCAATACTTAACAGGTTATAAACAGATTAATTGTACTTGCCTGTTTAAGTCAACTACACCTTTACATGACTATAAAACTAATTTTAACCAGTTTTATTGTTGTAAATGTTTACTTTATTATTATTAAACATTAACGATTGTAGTTTTTAAACTATGAAGTAACAATTTTTTTGGGGGTTTGGGGGGGGGGTTGGATTAGAAGAAAGAGAGTTAGTTTATTCTTTGTAGTAAGCATTATTGTATAAACGATAAATGAATAATTCTGACGAAAGTCATACTTCGTTTTCAAGTTTAGTAAAAATAAGATAAAATACATGACAGTATCATTTACCGGTGATCTTACTGGAAGTTGACAGCAGTAAGATATTTTTACGCAAAGAATCAGGATCTGTAGCAATGCTTTCTTATCTCGATGGGAAACGTCTATCCTAAAGAATATCAAATCTCACCTCAGTTCACTGTTTCTCGTCTCCAGTACGAACGAAGCTAACAACGCATCAATAACTACTGGCGAAAAATCTTGCTTGACCAGACTTAAACAGTTATTGACTGAACTCTGTGATCAGTATTTCAGGTTTAGAAGGCCACCTTTGCTAATCTGACTGGTTTTTTCAATTGCTTTATGAAAAAGTAGCCTTCCACGGTGAGAACTTTCAGAAATTAGAAACTACCTACACGTACACCTTTGTTATAAATTAGAGTCAATATATATATATTGGATTTAATGTTTAATCAAGTTACTTGTTTTCAAATAATCCAGAATTCGAACCTAGTACCCTTTGTTTTAATGATGTCATCATGTTATTCACTTAACTACTGAATCCAGAGAGTTACACACAATTGTGCAAAATGCATGAGATCTTATTCAATTAGAAATGGTTTGGATCATTGGCGCTGTGTTTAGACTTTGATGTAGAGCTCACTAATTTAATGGCTCATGCTATCTAACGTCAATATTTATGAACAGTTGAATATGCTGTGAAATAAATCTACTCTTCAGTTTCGGTCTATCTAATACTTAGGTGAATCCTGTTTGTACGACGGCGGTAATCAGAGGCCATGTATGGATTTGGTTGGATGAGTTTATTTCAAGCAGTTGTTTGTGCAGACCGACATAAGAATATAAAGCGTGAAAGAAAAGCAAGGCGAAGTGAAGTGGAGTGGAGTAGGCGAGTGACCCGACTCACATGCGATGAGGTATGAATGAATAAGCATTTATAATCAGATAAAAGTGAGCCAGACATGTAATAAGAGAAGCTAGTGGTGCACACACATGCTTCAATAGAAGCAATCAAGATAATAGGAAATAACTGACAAAGTTGAAAGAGAGGGAATGGTAACTCGAAGATTTGGGACGAGCCCTGTAGACACTCGACACACACACACTACAATATTTTGACTAGGATTCGATCAGTCTTGTCTGGCAGATGAGCATCCAATTTAACACATTTTAAACCTACCACTTTTTTTGCATTTTGTTTAAATTCCAGGTCAATACATTAACAATGAAACACGGAACTATTTGATCTTAGTAAGTTAAAAGATAAAAAAAAAGAGTGATTGATTTGAACAGTGTTGAAAAGTTTTAATTATTGTTGATAATTTTTGTTGTGTTTTATTTAAAAAGTGAAGTTCTTATTTATTCACATGATCGGGTTGTGGAGATTGTTGAGTTGTGATGGTGTTTAATTCTCTGAGCTGGTTGTTTTTGCTGTGGAGCTTTAATTGTTCTTCTACTGAACAACATCATCAGCACAAACTTCAGATAAAAGTGAAGCATTCAAATCTCTCCATGTTTGACCCGTAGCTTGTTCTGTTAACCTTGATCTTGATTGGTTACTATTGACCTTAAACCTGTCGTTGTTTGCACCCTTGTATTGATTGTATCCCACTTTTGATCTGTTTCTTAATCCTATGTTTGCATATGACTTTTCTAGTAGGTTGATAAACTGGGTCAGTGTCGATATGTTTGTTGATTGCTGATTGACCTGAGTGTGAAGCTTATACTTTTTGAAATCACGAATCGATCGATGGTAAATGATCATTAGAAACATGACAGCACTCGACGGCCATTTCGTCCTGGTATGGGACTCGTCGGCAGTGCACATTCACAACTCCTGCACCTCACAGGATTCGAAGTCAAGACTTTCGGTCTTGCGCGCGAATGACTAACCTCTGAACCACTGGGCAAATTTTCTATGCATTACTACAGTTTTCTGATGGATATAAATTATCAAAACATTTTTAAATTGTTGTTATCAAATTGCTATAAACATTTTTTTAACTAAATGCCTGCAACAACAACAAAAATAATTAACATTTCTTGACAAACTACTGAAAATTATTTGAGTAGTTGTTGGTGCGCTTCAAATATTCTATTGATATGCACCACAAAATCAATCCTAATTACAGTTGGTCACCATGAATCGCTCTAAAATTTTCATATTAGTTATCAAATGAGACCATATTTTAAGACAATTTTGATGAGACAATGTGAAGACGTAACTGATCTGAAAAATGTGATGTATTTGCGCCGTACACTTCGAACACTAGTCAAAGCATCTTATTTAAAATTGATAAATGTAAATGAGGGAGAGAGAAAATCGTCTTTAGGATAGAAAGAATAAGAAATTGTCACATTACTCTATTCTTCTCGTATTATCTTAACTCTGGTGAGGTCGCTTGTTCAGTCCCTTGATCAATCAGAGTTAGACATTAACACTGTTGGATGCCGGCACAGTGGTCCGATGGTCAGGCGTTCGAGCACAAGACCGAAGATCCCGGGTTCGAATCCTGCGAGGTGAAGGGGTCATGGACGCGCACTGCTGATGAGTCCCATACCAGGACGAAACGGCCATCCAGTGCTTCCAGGTTTCTAATAGTGGTCTAACAATGATTGATTAATGATTTCAAAAATGTTTAAGAACACTAATCTCCCTAACTCTAATTGAAAACTTTATTATTCAAATCTCCATACGCACCACATACATATGATTGAACAAAGTTCTTGGATAACAGTCCTAATATTTTGAGCCTCTATGAAATCCCATTCACTCCTGATTTTCCCATTATTGCCTAAGATTGGTCGATCCAAAAAGATTATAATAACAACTTGACTGGAAAAATTTGGATAAGTTATGAATCCTTTCTAGATAGTACGTATTTTTTACTGTTGATTGGTTCAATGAATTTAACTGTTGTATCACATTGACTCTTGATAGACTGAACTATTGAAAAGTGTTTAACAAATTAAAAATAATCGTTGAAAGAAAACAATAATCATCTTATTCAGAATAAGGATTAACCATGATTAAGAATTTGTTTTTGATCGATGATGGTTGTAGATAAGTTTTATTAAAGATTTAATCAAATGAACAGTTGAATAAAATTTAAACCAGTGTTCAAATTTAGTATTCAGTGTTTTGTGGAGTGCAATCTGACTCCAGTTAAGAAGAATAATTGTTCATGATATGATATAAATCTTCCCCTTTATGAGACGGTGGTCATAAGAATCCAAATATGAATTCAGTTGGATGAATTTATCTCATGCGATCGTTCACGCACAGACGTGAGGATAAAAAGCGGTAAAGTGAATCGAAGAAATTAAGTGAACCAGTTCAATGCGACAAGGTTATGGTCAGATGAAAATAAGCTAGTCATATGATAAGTGAAGTAGGCAATCCATACGGGCACTCAAATCAAAACAACAACCAAGATATAAACGAATAATTAACAAGGTGAATTGATGTGCAAATACTAAATCGGGCAGAAAAGGTTATTCAGTTTACTAAAATGCTAGTAATGACCACATAGGCTGAACATACTCGTACACATTCTAAAAGTGATATCAATTGAGGAACCATTATATCATCGTTTTCTCAATGTTTTCTATTAATATGATCCTAAATAGAGTTCAACTATGTTGGAGGCATTACCGTTAATAATGATTGTATTGGATAAGAGCCATATACAAAATGCAGAGTCTTCTGACCACCCTAAGCAACAATGTGAGCATGTTCGGGATGCGGTCCTCATCCTCAAAATGCAAAATGTTGCTTCAAGATTGGGTTGCATCGGCACCTGAACTAGTGATAGGGAGTGAAGTAGTCGAACGTGTAGACCGCTTCACTTATCTTGGGAGTCTCATCAGTGCCGATGGCCTGGTGACTGACGAAATCTCAGCTCGCATACAGAAAGCTCGATTGGCTTTTGCCAACCTGCGTCACTTATGGCGTAGGCGTGATGTCCGTTCGCTAACCAAAGGACGAGTGTACTGCGCAGCAGTTCGTTCCGTTCTCCTATATGGCTGTGAAACATGGCCAGTGAGAGTAGAAGATATTCGTAGATTACTGGTTTTTTTGATCATAGGTGTCTTTGAAGCATTGCTCGTATACCGTGGGACACCCGAGTGAGCAACGCTGTTATTAGGAAACGGGTGCTAGATAAGAATGGCAGATCAATGGATGAAGTAATGAAACTTCATCAGTTGAGGTGGTTGGAACATGTGTTACGTGTGGCTAACCACCGACTGCCACGTCGAGCTTCGTTTTGTAGTGTAGGAATAGGTTGGAAGAAAGTTAGGGGCGGCAAAACCAAAACATGGCAGAAATCCATGAAGTCATTGACAAGTGGACTGAGCAATGTCGGTAATTGTCGACTACCTGGTTGGGGTCCGCGAGATGATAATAATCGATGGTTAGAGACCTTGAATGACATGACTCAAAATCGTTCGCAATGGCGCCGGTGCATTTATTCTTTGTGTTCTCTCAAATCCTAACCTTCTGGGTTCTTCAACACCTCTAGTTTCGACTTTCTAAACTTTTCTCACTGAATCATACTTCTTGAATAATATCTTGTAATCCTAACCTCTCGGATTACTTCTAATACCTTTACCTACCTCTTCTACTATTGGATTTGAGTTGAAAATTACATCTCTGTACTGATGTGGTATGGCGACATGAACTGATGTATTTACGTACGAAGTTCTACATTGCATCTGACTGACTGATAAGAGCCATATGATTTATAAAGTTTACTTAAATTTCCCATATGTAAATCATTCTTACATGAACGCAGTGGTTATTTGTAAGATCTGAAGATTTTGTGTTTTAAACAATATGGGATTGAAGGTGTTCGCTGTTGTCTCGAACCATAAGTGCTTTTGTTTTCTTTCCACTGCTCTTTGAATGGTTTTCGTTCTTGCTGAAAGAAAACTAATCAATTCAAATTTTCATCATTAAACATCATTCATCAGTGAATGGTTTTTCCACATCAACTATACGATTGAATCAATAGTGATATAATTATTTTGTTATTTTTTTCATAGGCATTCATTATCATGGGTTTATTATTATGGCTTATTGGTGTTCTGATCATTGGTTTGGTGTGTTATCGTCGCCGACGTAATCGTAAAGTATCTGTTCGAAAAAGGTAAGTTGTTTTTATTACTGACAATTTATTAGTTGAGTCGAATAAATGAAAGTATCTGTTTGTTACTATTGCTAAAGATTTGATATAAACGCTTGATCTCTAAAACTACTGTGGTTAGTTCTGGCGCTCTGAATATTTAACCTGAATGGTTTACGTCTATTCATCGTACGTCCTGTTATCATCATCATGTTGTCCTTTTTAGTTTACATTTTATGATTACAACATATGTGTACTTGCAAATGAGTATGCCACTAAGATAGAACCCCCGATCAACCCAACCAACTGCTTAAATGCGACAACCAAGAGTGTGCAGGAAGCTTTGATTGGGTAAACGAAATGCAAATCATCTTCACAACTCATTCATCAGGATATATACATGTCCTTCAAAGGCGTAAGCCGCTACTTTTGACTAGTAGCATACGTCCATTTCTCCAGAAATCAAGTGAAATCATAGCTAATAGCTTGAACATGTCATCATCTCGTTATTATCATTTCGTCTATGTTTGATCAGCCCTTAACATCATAAAGTTTACAAAATTTTTGTGATAATCAAAAAATGTGCTCACTAGTCAGTAGGTTCGTGAGGAAACTCAGAGTTCAAGTGAGGAGCCATGGAGTTCAGCTCTGTTGGGTGTAAGCAGTTACCCACCGAGGACAATGACTAAGATTGCACATTACCTTGGATTGATTAAAGTTAGATGATAACGCAATTGAGAGCCGGCTCAATGGTCTAGAAGTCAGACGATCGCGAGCGAGACCAAACTTTCTGGGTTCGACTCCTGAGAACGGGATTCATGGGTGCACACTGATGATAAGTCTCATACTAACACAAGGTGTCCATCCAGAGCTTCCAAGTTTCTAATTGTAATCTAACATTGATCAGATCATGATTTCAATAAAACTGAACAATCTACAGCTGTATCATGAAAATTATAATCAAATACTTAGCTACTTTTAGATTTTAATACAGCTTGTCTCCTATTGGCTATATCAAGGCAATGTGACTAACCACTGATCAAAGTTAGAGAATGACTTAAACTACTGACTTTTTAGTTCGTGAATTCCTTGATATTATTTAATTGTACTCATAATTTAATTGAGTGTAGACTGCTTGTTATCATGTTGAATACAGTAATGTTTAGCATAGTCTCATGTTTTCTAGTGAAATTTCGTGAATCGTATATTCGGTATGATATAATCCCAGTCAGCGTAAAGCATTTCGATTCGGTGTCTAGTTTAATGCCCGTATAATCTCTTACCAGGTCGTACTAAGTATGGTATAATAGTAACATATGATAGCGAATGGATCTATTTCTAACCCAGAGTTATAGTATTCAAAAATGATATATATATATATATAGCGTTCACCGTCATGTTTTTAAGTTCTTAATACCTATCTAATAATCCCTGTATACAGCTTGCAGTTTGATTTTGAAAATAACTGATTTAACATCTAGTTTCAGAACTTGTTATCGATTAGACCAAATCATTTAACATCCATCATAAATTCACTTAACGCCGACATAAAAGTTGAAATAAACTAACATATATTTTTCAGATTGACAAATAATCACTTCCTATTTGTTTTGCTCATTAATTGATATGCTTGAAACTATGACAGGTTCACGTTAGTCGGTAAACTAGAACGAAGACAAATGATACAGTGACACGATAGTCTACTCTAATTCGAGCGTCTCACAGTCCCCTTAAGTAGAGGAAGAAGTCTTGATAAGGCGTAGAAAGTGTATTCTACAAGCACCAAAAAAAACCGAAGTTCACATGCACACAAATCGAGTATATTTATACATGATAGAAACATTCTTGTGAGAGCCACAAAACAGCTTACTAAAATAATCCATCAACCAATAACAGTCAAGGATTTTCCGGGTGGGAAATGTAAGCTGAATGTCAACTAAGCAGCTTATGCACGAAAACTTCAAAAATCCAAAATTAGAACCTTATTCAAATGAGTTTTGGGTGATCTAACTTACTCAACACTATTATTCCATTGATTAACTTTAAAAAGCAAATCATTTGTTTATATTTACAGTGCTTTATGGTCCAATATTAGTTATGAACCAAATTTATATCAAACTAAATTATCATCACCACAAACTGAACCATTTATTACACAATATAATCATGATAATCATCAAAATGACATGAAATTATTATTATCAACCAATCAAACAATTTATCCTTCATTAAAAAGATGTTCACCAAGTAGTGTACTAAGAAATTCATCTACTTTACCAAAACTACCCAATAATGATCATCCCATTGAACGTAGATCAGTACGTTATACACGTACACCAAATGATATATCGAAATTACATTTCGCCACTACTTCAACACATACACCACCAATATCATCGATCAATAATTCATCCATGTCAATGTATACACAACAATCAAATTTGTCACCAATTGAAAATTCTCATCAACCGCCATTTGATGATACTTATGAAGAATTAACATGTTGTAGAAATGATCATTACAATTGGAAGCATAATCATGTATTAACAACAACAACAACAACAATGCCGAAATTGACAACTTTTCAATAAATCAATATTGAATATTGAATTGATTCAATGTTCAATTGTTCATTCTCCTCTTTTTTCTTTTTTTTTGTTCATGTTTATTCAAAATATTTATCAGATATAAGAAACAAGTATATAGATATATGTGTAATCAGTTAGGTAACACTTATTACATTGTTTGAAAGATGGAAACTTTCATTTTTCATCCAACTTTTGTAAAGAAAAAAACGCGAACAGTTATCATTTTTTCTTCATCATTCATCGCTTGAATTTAAATAATCATTGTTTATGAATTGCCATTTGTTTTAATCGTATGTTTTATGCAAATCAGATATATTCAATTGTATTATTACTATTATCATTATTATTATTATTAATACTGTCTGATCGAAAAGTCACAGTTATTTATGGAATGTCACAGATTTCTTGAATAATATTTAATATATTTAAATAATTATCATTGAGTATAAATAAATAATAAAATTATTTACAGTTTTTATATTGTTTTATTGCATTTACATGAAAAATTGGTAGCCCTGATGCTGCTTCCAGGGTCTCGCTGGTGTAGGTATAGCATTGAGTCGTCGAGATGAACAATCTCTCCTTGACTGGATCCCTGTAGATAGTCGCTTGTGCACCGTCCGACTGAACGGGACAGTAAGGGTTCGGAAAGATAGGGACACCCGTCGTTGCCTATTCGTCATATCTGCCTATGCCCCCACTGAGTGCAGTTCAGACGAGATTAAAGATGAGTCCTACACAAAGCTTTCGGACCTCCTGCAAAGAGCTAGGCGCTCTGTCATAGTTATAATGACTGGTGACTTCAATGCTCAAGTAGGTAGACTAATTGAGCAGGAGAGACACCTAGGTGAATGTTATGGTGTCGCGGCTCAGAGAACAGACAATGGCGACCGTCTGTTGCAAGTATGCTCAGATAACCGCCTATTCCTAGCGAACACTAACTTTAGGCATAAGGAAAAGCGTCTGTTGACCTGGCAACCTCCAAAGTCGTCTCAACGTTGGACCCAACTAGATCACATCGCAATCAGCCACCGATGGAGAGGTTTGGTAGAGGACTGCTGCTCGTTGTGGGGCACATGTTTAGATTCAGATCATGCCCTAGTGCGAGCGCGTATTTGTTTGAGGCTTACTGGGCGTAGGAAAGACACCGTAAGGAAGCCTCTTAGGGTTTTACTTAATGATAATCAAACTAAGAAAATATTTCAGGAGGAACTGGAAAAACAGTTAGGCGACCATGCAAGCGATTGCCATCCAGAAGCAGGTTGGAATGATATCAAGAAGGCGGTGCCAACAACAGTGATATCGGCTAGCAAGGTTAACCATAAGGCTAGGATGAAGCCGTGGATCTCAGTAGCATCTACCAAACCGATGGATGCTCGAAAACTCATCCCACCTTGTTCTGAACATGATGAAGAACAAAATCAGCTTAGACGTAGGCTGATAAAAAGCCTACGTAACGACCGCAAACAGTGGTGGGTGGCGAAAGCAAAAGTGATGGAAAAGGCAGCGGCGATAGGTAACACTAGACAACTTTTCCGACTTATCAAGGAAACTAGTATTAGGAATCCTAGTGTAAGTGAGACTATCTCGGCAAATGATGGGACTATTATTTATTCTCAATGCAGGAGACTGGATCGATGGGCAGAACACTTTAGGGATCAGTTCAACTGGCCTCGAGCCACTCTTCGGTTACCCACGATCTCCAGTCATCCTGAATGGCAAATCTGAAGCGAGGACGAGCTGCAGGTCCTGATAGACTGATCCCTGAGATATTTAAGGATGGTGGTCGAGTTTTAGCAACTAGGTTGACTGAGATCTTAGGTAGAATCTGGGAACTGGACACAATCCCATCTGACTGGTCTCAATCCTTGATTGTCCCAATCTATAAGAAAGGACAAAAGTCTTCTTGTGACAATCACAGGGGAATAAGTCTAACTAATATAGTTTCTAAATTGTTAGCCTCGATTATACTTAGACGCCTTACTAGTGCACTTGAAGAGTAGACTCGAGAAACCAGTCTGATTTTCGAGCTGGACGTGTTCGTATAGACCACATCTTCACACTACGACAGGTCCTGGAACACAGACACACATTTAGGCGTCCTACAATAGTTGTCTTCCTGGACCTAAAAGCGGCACTTGACTCAGTGGATCGTGAGGTTCTGTGGCAGTGTCTGTCACTGAAAGGTGTACCAAAGAAGTACATTAACCTTATACAAGCACTCTACTCTAACACCACTGGTCGAGTGAGAGCTTATGGCGAGCTGTCATCTGAATTCTTTACTTCAAGTGGTGTCTTTCAGGGCTGTCAACCCTCTCCATTCTTGTTCAATTTTATCATAGACCTGCTCTTAGAAATAACCTTATTCTCGTCTGAATTCTCCGCCGAAAGACCTTCTACCAGAAGGCTCGTTTATCGACTTAGAATATGCCGATGACATAGTTCTACTTGGTGATGCTGTCGTTAGGAAAAGAATTCTAGGTAGGGATCCCAAATCAATAGATGAAGTAGTCAAACTTCATCAGTTGAGGTGGTTGGGACATGTATTACGTATTCCCGACCACCGACTGCCTCGATGAGCTATGTTTTGTGGTGTAGTAGTAGGTTTGAAGAAAGCTAGAGGTGGCGAAACCAAAACATGATGGAAACGCAAGAAGTCACTGACAAGTGGACGGAGTCATGTTGGTAGATGTAGGCTATCTGGTTGGAGTCCGCGAGACGAAAGTAACCGATGGTTAGAGACCTTGAACAATATGGCTCAGATTCATTTACAACGTTGCATCCACTCTTTGTGTTCTCTCAAATTCTAATCTTCTGAATTCCTCATAATCTCTACCTTTCTCCTCCTAAATTTATCTTACTGAATTATACTTTTTGAATCATATCTTCGCTCCCTAATCTTCTCTATTACTGCTAATACTTCTATTATTGCTATCACTGTTGGATTTGAACTGACAGTTGCGTCTCAGTGCTGATGGGGCATGGCAACCTGAACTGATGTACTTACGTACGAAGTTCTGTATTGTTTCTTTCTGTTTGACCTGAAAATTATTTGTAAGTAAATTTACCCATGAAACAATATCGGTATATTAGCTATTGAGAATTGAATGTTTGGATTTTCTGGTGAACGAATATTCGTTTGAATTTCAATGGACAGATTATTGAAGATAATCTATGTAAAAATTGTATTTTTAGTAATCTCAACAAATGAAATTTAAATAATTTCAATATTTCAATTATCAAAACTAGTTTGAGCTTTTCCAGTAAAATTAGCAAAATCAAAATTTTTTTACATCATATTCCTCTGATGAAACTTGAACCTAGTTTATCGGAGTGAATTTGACGAAATAATTTAAGCGTCAATCGCTGATACTTTACATTAGAGCAATTTATCTGTATTTATGCTAAGTAAAGATCAAGTAATCAAGAGATTTTGTGTGATTAAATGTTAGTTCATTCTTTACAAGATAACCTCGATGATATTCACCTATTCATATTTTGTAAAAGTCTAATTGTCGTTATCTATTGCTTTCAATTTGATAACTTTATGTACCTCCAGTTGCTTGGCTCAAATTCGCCTTCGAAGTTATTCAAAAAGTTTAAATTTTTCTTTCTTTATCAGTGTGTTAGTTATAAATGTTTAAGTGTTTTCGTGTAACACAATTCCGGTTTATTCAAGTTCCAATTTTTTGTAAATCGTAATAAACGAATCACCAATTGTTCACAAATTGAATTTACCGTAGACTAACCGGAAAGTTCAATATCTTAATCATTCTTGTGTAGAAATAAAATTTTATCTACACTTTACTAGCTATGATGAATATAATTTCAGCTAGTTTCGTTTCATATCATAGATATCTCAATGTAGAAACTTTGTAATTTGATATATTAATTTTTCACTGGATTTTTTAAACTATTTATTAGTTTTCAGTAGTCGAAATAACGCTTAGCCAAAATTAATTATGAAACGAATGAACAATGAACACTGTGAGTGCGTGTTTGAATTTTGTAACAGTGAGATACTCACGCAGTGCATACAGATGATGATTTAAATACTTGCAACATTATTAATATGTGTGTATTAATTTTGTATTATTCATTGAAAACACCTGAATTCAACTCAAATGCAGCACAATTATTAAAACTAGAGACGTTTGAAACTTTATGTTCAGTAAAAATGTTCACCTTGAAAATAAAACCAAAGCTGTGATAAATGAAGATTAATTGTATCCACCGTGAGTCAGTTATCTACCGAACAAAATCGTGATGACCGCGAAATATCGGAGATCATTTGAAGTAATTGTTAACTCCGTTGGATGCTGACTCAGTAGTCTAGTAGCTAAGCATTCACATGCAATCCCGAAGGATTTTGGTTCGATTCTCATGTGTAGAATCGTGGATGCTCACTACTGATGAGTCCCATACTATGATGTAAGGGCTATCCAGTACTTCCACATTACTAATGGTAGTCTAAACTTCATTAATTATTAATTTTAAACAATGAGTCAGTCAGATTGTACAATAATTACGTTGATTAATCACCTAAATGGGTACAAATTAACAAATATACAGTAAATATTTGAGACATATGATGTGGAATATTTATTTTGAGATCCAGATAATGTTTCAAAGTACTTAGTGACTCACATACTGGTGTTTACTGTTTGTTAAACATTCGGAAACCAAAAATCCAACGTAATGAGGATCGATAGTTTGTACTAATGAAGAGGAAATGCAGTCAGATTATCATCAGTAGAAAAAAAATTCTAACTACTTAAACAAAAATAAAAAATCAATCATCTGAATAGACTAAAGCTCATCAAGACTTCTAGCCGTCAATAACTTCATCTTTAAGTACTGTTAAGTTGTGAATTGTTTATTTGTGATAGCAGTAAAAAATGTGACTAAACTTAAGTCAAACGGTACACATTTAATTTGTTTCTACTCTATTATAAGCGATCTCAAACAATGGTCGCTGGTAATCTCTTTTATGGACATTGGTTTTGACAATACTGATTGACTACAGTTCTTCTTACACTCTGATTCGACCAGTAGCTTTCGAGTAGAAAGCCTGTACACGGATAATGTACTTATTTGGCACACCTTTCAATAACAGACACTAACACTTGACCTAACATTTGATGACCACGACCAGGACCAGGGATCGGTCCCGGATCCCTAGTCCGGGATCCTGATTCTCTTCTGGATTCGGACCTCGTAATTTCTGGATGCTTGTAGAATACAGGTTCAACTTCGTATCAGGTCTTCTTATTTTTACTAAATATGGGGGTTGGGTTGAGTAGTATCTCGTGTCGCCGGATCCTCGATCCTCGCTCTCGTTTTTCCGACCAGGTAAACTTGTAATAGTTCAAGTATATCAAGCTGACGTGTTTACGTGAA